AATAGCTCTGGGGATGTAATGAAAAAAACGTACTGACTAGAACTCCAGGAATCATGTGTATTTAGAAGGAAATACTGCATAAACTATTTGGGGCAGAGGAGAGACCCTGATTGGGATTAGAGGACTAATGAGGAGTGCGCTGGTCCCATATCCTGCCATTTCCCAATTTGAAACTATTTGGGTAGTAGACACAGAAATCGGACAAAGATCAAAACCTCTATTTTATTGGTAAGGCCAATGGGAGAAAGTGGCTGTATATATGGCCACAGTGGCCTTCCAACAACCTCACCCCAGAATTAAATGTATTTACCAAGTCACAGGCAAAGCTGGACAACCCTGGGACTTCATGCCTCACTTCCTGGTATGCCTACACTTTGGCTGAGAGTAGACCAAAGCATACCCTTTCTGTAGACAGTGGGTTCAAATGAGAGTCTGCTGTAGAGGCCGAGTTGAGGGTTTCTCCTTCCAGAGTATCAGTTGGACTAGTCACTCCTCCTTCCATAGAGAGAAGCTGGTGGAGGGGAGAGGTGGGTGCTACTCTATCTAGGAAAGGAAATGTGAGTCCAGGGGCATGCTCTGGTTAGTCCCTATCTCTGGAGGAGAGTGAGATTGCAGGGACTTGGACTGGCTGAGTGGAGTGAGCTGAGTGAGGGGAGAGAGGTGCTTCCACAGGCTGCTTCCTCAGTCCTGCTGCCCCAGTACTCAGCCATACCTTTAAGTATTCATTAAACAGGTGTTGACAAGTATCAGGTTTGAAGTGGCTTAGCCCCCTCAGAGCAGCTAGAGGTCTTCATTTAGCCCTGCACCTGGAGGTTCAGAATGAGTTTCTCTGGACTGGTTGGTTTTTCTTTCTATAAGTTGGTAACCAGGGTCAGATGATTTTAGTGCTTTCAGGCTTACTTGTCTGATTCCAGTCCAGCTGCTACATCCATGGGGAGCCTTGGAGAAGGAGAAAGGGTGAACCTTAGCAGGAAAGAGACAGATATCTTCTGTGCTCAGACTTCGCTTTCTGATTGGGGTAGGATGGAGTGTATTGTTACCAAATTGGAAATCAGTGAGCTAATTAGTTTTACAAGACTTTAGGCTTTGATCTCAAGGATCATTCCTAGAAGAGCAGATGTTGATGTTAGATTAAGGTTCTAGGAGAGTAGGAGGTGGGGAGGAAGGGGAGAGGACATTACTGAGTGCCTATTCTGTGCAAGCACTGGACATATGTTATTTATTCATCATAGCTTCTCTATAAGGTAGAAATTATCATCTCAGTTTTATAGACAAGGAAACTGATCCCAGAGATGTTAAGTAATTTGCCTAGGGTCACACTTTTAGGTCAGGATTCAAACCTGTCTTTCTGACTACAAAATCCATATTCTTTCAGTGTCCCAAGAAGTGCATTGTGAAGAGGAGCCATTGTTACCTGAGTGGTAATTCCTGGCTTTCCTAGCACCCAGCAGCCCCAGCTCCTCACCCACCATCCAGGGGGCCCTTGCTGGTTGTGTGGGGTAATATGGACTCAGGGTCAGAGAGTGGCTCTAGCACCACAGCTCCTCACTAGGTGGGGAAACTGGGGCATGCTGGCTCATGGCTGTGTGGTCTTAGGTTCCAGGCAAGAAGCTGGAAATGCCCACTGGTTAAGAGTTAATTTTAGACTAGAGAAGGAGAAAGAGTACAAGGTCTAGGATTTGGTTCTAGACCTGCCATCTTCTAGCCAGGTGTCCTCAGGTCAAGTATTTTCTCTCTGGGCCTCAGTTTTCTCAGCTGTAGAATGAGGTGAATGGATTAGCTCAACCACTTCAAACTGAGTGCCTTGGGGGCCTTAGGGGTTCTGTGGAGGAGACTCAGGGGTTGTTAAAGAGGGAGAGTGCTTCCCCTGTTAGGCATTTCACTAAGATGTTCACCATTTATTGAGTGTTTACTCTGTGCGGGGCACTGGTTAAACATTCTATATCCGTTTTTCATCTAACCCTCTCAGCAACCCAGGTAATCTTTTTATCCCTGCTCAGCAAGGTTAAGTAACCTTGGCCAGGGTGACACAGATGGTAAGTGGCTAAGCAAGGATCCAAACCCAAATCTGCCCCCCATACCCTTAACCACCAGGTTGCTGCCTTCCAAAGAGTAGCATGAAGAGAGCATAGGATTTTTCTGTTTGTTTTTACATGTAAAAGAATGTTTTATTAAGCTATAACTTACATGAATTTTAAATTCACAGATTTTAAGTGTATAATTAAATGAGTTTTGACAAATATATAGTTTTGTAAATAGCACCACAATCATGTTATAGAACATTGCCATCACCCCAAAAAGTTCCCTTGTTCCCCTTTGTAATCAGTCCCCTCTCCTCATCCCCTTCCCTCAGCAACCACTGATCTGCTTTCTGTCACTAGTTTTACTGTTTCTAGAATTTCATATAAATGAAATCATACAATATATGATCTTGTGTGTCTAGCTTCTTTCACTTAGCTTAATGCTTTTGAGATTCATATTGTTGTGTATATCAGTACTTCATTTCTTTTTATTTGTGAGTGGTAGTCCCTTATATGGCTGTACCACAATTTGTTTATCCACTCACCTGTTGATAGATATTTGATACTTCCAGGTTTTTGCCTATTATGAATAAAGTTACCCTTAATACTGAAGTACAAATCTTTGTGTGGATGTCTGTTTTCATTTCTCTTGGGTAAATACCTAGGAGTAGGATTGCTGGGTCAAATGACTTATTAGTCTTCTATTACTGTGTAGCAAGTTACCATAAACTTAATGGCTTAACACAGCACCCATTTATTATCTCACAATTCTCTAAGTCAGAAGTCTGGGTGGGCTTCACGAGCTTCTTCACTTAGGGTGAAATCAAGGTGTAGGCCAGGCTAGGTGCTTATCCAGAGATCTGGGAAAGAATCCACTTCCTCCTCAGGGGCCTCTTTCAACTCTTTCAGGTTACCCACATTCTTTTTCACAGGCCCCTTCATCTTCAAATTAGCAATACATGTTGAGTCCTTCTCACACTTCCAGTTTCTCTAGTTCTTCTTCTGCGACCAGCCAGAGAAAAGTCTGCTTTTAAAGGGCTGGTGTGATTATATTGGGCCAACTCAGTCTCCCTTTTGCCATAAAATGTAACATAATCACGGGACTAACAACTGGGAGCAAAGGTCATGGGACCATCTTAAAATTCTGCCTATCACATATGGTAAGTATATGTTTATAAGAAACCATCAAACTGTTTTCCAAAGTGGCTACACCATTTTACCTTCCCATCAGAAGTATATGAGAGTTCCAGTTGCTCCACATTCTGGTCAACACTTGGTATCATCAGTCTTTTTAATTTTAGCTATTGGTGGGTGTATAGTGGTAATGGTGGTTTTAATTTGCATTTCCTTAATGACTGATAATGAGACCTTTTGATATGCTTATTAGAGCCTAAAATTTTGTTGAGTGAAACGTTCTGCTGCTTTAAAAAAGGTTGAAACCCACTAGCTCAGATAAACTGTGAGGCTCTTAGAGTCTACTATCTCTGAATCTCTTAGTGGGGCCCAGGGCACATCTCTTTTTCTGAAACAAAGCAGTCTCTGAATGTAGGTGAATCACCAGTATAAGCACAATGCTCTGTGTGTGGGTGAGAGAGGAAACCAGTGTTTCTTCAACAGGGCCACAATCCCAAATCCAAAATTCTGAAGTCCAAATTATTCTGAAAACCAAATGTTTTTCCTTGGTTGGTAGCAAAACTCACTGACAGCAAAATCTAACATGAACTTTTGTGGGTTTTATTTGTTTGCAGAAGGACCCTCTGTTGTCCCATGCCTGTGTTGGCTGCCTGGAGGCCTTGCTTGACTACCTGCATGACCGGAGCCCAGATATGGGTAGAAACCCTCTCCATTTTCTGATGTTCCCATGCGAGAGATTGGAGGGAGGCCAGCCCCTGCCACCGTCCTTCTCCAGACACCCATCCCTTGTTCTGTGATTCACACTCACTTTGTTTAATTCTGTTAACAACACTGCAAACACACTGTCATGCCCATTATATAGATGAGGACACTGAGGTTCAGAAAGGTCAAGTAACTTGCCCAGCCAAGGTCACAAAGCTCTTAAGTGGCAATGCCCTTCCTGTTGCCTGCTTCTCACAATAGAGGGATATGTGGTCTCCCTGAGCCGGGCAGCATAGGTGGATAGAAGCCTGGAGAAGAAAGAAACCTCCTGGGGTCAGCTTGTCCAATGTCCTCCCTCTAGCTGAGCAGCCCCTTTTTGAGCCAATAGGAGAAAGTCCTCTTTAGCAGTGTCCCAAGACCTTTGGAAAGGCAGCATTAACAACCCAGGGTGACTGATGTTTCCCATAGCACTCCATGTGGCCTCCCAGCCTTGGAATCGGTTTTTGCTGTTTACCCTCCTGGATGCTGGAGAGAATTCCTTCCTTAGACCTGAGATCTTGAGGCTCATGACTCTGGTAAGTGCAGGAAGGATGGTTTTGTGGTCTGAAGAATGTCATGAGTTGGGTGGTCCTGAGGAAGCCAGGGATACTTTACTTTAGGTAACCCTAGCCCTCAAAGAAGGTAGAGGGGTGAGGCAGGCCTTCACTCTACAAGAGATCTGCTCAGAGAATTTCTCTAAATGTCCATATCTCCTCACCCCGGAAGCCCTGGACACTCTTTTTCATTCACTCACTCATGAAACATTGACCAGGACTCCCTACTATATGCCAGGTCCTATGCTAGGTACCAAAGATGTCGATGAACCAAATGCTTTGCCTTTAAGGGTCCCTTGGTATAGAGAAGAAGACAGACAAGGAAACTAATAGTGAAAATATGTTATTAGTGGTAGAGTATAGTAGAAGATATGCTAAGTGCCTGGCATGTAGTTAGTGCCTGTTAGATAAACAACAAAGCAGCAAGCCGGTGAATAATAGTGCAGTGGATCAATGAATTAATCAGTGGTTGGTGTGGGAACACAGAGAAAATAAGTGCTTCTGCCTGAGCTGGGAGGGAGAAGTGAATAAGAATGTAGTAAGCACTCAATTAATGCCTGTATTTCTTTAATAAAATGAAAGAAAATTTAGCAGTGAAGGTAACATTTTAGCTGAGGCTTGTGGGATTAATAGGCAGAAGAGGAAAAGTATTCCAGGTAGTGAAGTGAGAAGCAGGTATGCGAGCACATAGTGGTGTGTTTGTGTAACCATAGTCCATTTTGGCCATGAGTGTGAGAGCAAGGCTGAGGGGTGGGTGGTGGGGGCAGGGACTGAGGGAGTCAGCAGGGCCACCTCTTTCAGGTCTGCCTCATTTACCGCACTCTCATGACACAACCCCACCCCTGCCCACCAGCTCTTGAGCTCCTTGAAGGTAGGGTTTGGGGGACTTCAGATGTGTCCCTGGTCCAGTGCTGGGCACAGCAGGAGCACAGGAAATGACTATGAATGAAGGAGATGCCAAATGACTGCATGTCTGGGGCTTCTCTCCCTGGGCCAGTTTGTGCGGTTCCGGAGCAGCAGCGTCCTCTCTCATGAAGAGGTGGGTCACGTTCTGCAAGGTGCAGCTTTGGCTGATCTCTCTACTCTCTCGAACATCACACTCCAGGCTCTGCGTGGCTTCTTTCTGCAGGTGGGTCGGAAGGGGATACCGTGTAGCCACTGTGAGACAGACCCTCCACACCATCTTCTCTGTGGAGGGTGGGAGCCCTGGCCAAAGCAGCCAATGGGAGGTCAGGTGTGCAGGGGGGTGAGGGTAGAGAGGGCCTGTATGGAGGGGGCACTGAGAAGGCCAGTCTTTCTTGCCGTCTTCTCCCATCAGGTCCAGAGCATGGGCCTCCTGGCTGATCACTGCATGGCCCAGACCCTGCAGGCCTCCTTGGAGGATGTTTTCCCCAGGGCCTTCTCAGCACAGCCACCCCTACAGGACATGCTGTATCCTTTCTTGCATCTGGGAGCTTTGGCCTGGGCAAGGTCACCCAGGCTATGGGAGGCTGTGGCATCATGCTTCAGGACAGAGAGCTGTACTGTCTACAGTCCTGTCCTCTAAAGCTAGCAGGGGTTGGTGAGAATAATTAACAGTGATAGCAATGACAATGACTTGTTCTGTTTAAGTTCCTACCGAGGGCCAGTCACATTACATGCACTGTATGTAATCCTCACAGCAGCTAGGAGTGTTACTGTAGTTGTATCTTAGACCAGGGATGTCAAATGATGTGCCCAGGATCAGAGTGACAACATCAGGATTTGACCCCAGATTTGCCTGTCTCCAAAGCCATATCACCAAACTCAGGAAGGAGCTAGTCCTTCCCCAAGAGCTTTGGACAAAGTTACCCAACTCCAGTGGGCACAGGTGCTTCCCTCAGCCCAACATGGGGGGTGCTGGGTTACTGGCATGGCCCTGAGAAAGACTGGGGCTGTGGGCAGTGGTCAGAGGCCTTCTCCGGGGTTGTTGTGGTGCTCCAGGGACACTTTGGTGTGGAAGTGTGTGTGTGTGTGTGTGTATGTGTATGTATGGGGGTGCTTCTTCCCCACCCCACCGGCTGCCTCCCTGGCTCTCCTCCTCCTCCCTTCCACGGAATAGTTCCCTGTTGTATAGCAACAACCTAGCCCAGGTGTTCAGGTCCCAATTTTAGAATCCATCCCACCATTCTTAGGAGCACCTCTGTTCTTGTCCGACCATTTTGCCCTTTTTGGGTTCTGAAGTGTGCTTCTCCCATGGTTGGCCCCACCTCTCTGCTGTTCTCCTCTCATGTTTGCTGCCAGCTGCCTGGGAGGGGTGGCTGTATCCCTGTCCCACATCAGAGACTGACCCTCAGGACTTGAAGGCCCAGAAACAGAACTGAGACCTAGAGAAGACAAAGCCAGGGCACAAGAGATGACAACTGCAGCCATTCATCTGGAGCCATTTATTCCATTGTTGAAATGGAGTCAGGAAATAAAAGGATGCACTCACCTGCTTGTGTGGGCTCTCCGAAAACATTTGTCAGCTTACCTTGGCTCCTCCAGCTGGTTCCTCAGCCGGATGGACGGCCTCCTCAGGGAGAGAGGGCACGGATTTGTTTGGGTAACGCATAAGGAGCACCAGAGCCAGCTGGTTGCCTCCGTCGTACCTAGAAAACCCGTCAGGCCATCCTCGGGGCCGGAAGGGCATGGAAAGTCCACGTGTCCGGTGCTGCTGTGTTCCAGGTGCTCTGAGAGGCACTGTAATGCTGCCTCACCTCACGGGAAGGTGCAGAGAGGTACAATTTCCAGGCAAGGAAGCGAGCAGGTCAAATCCTTCTCAGCCTTCCTGGCTGAGTGAAACTGCCCCGGCTCGGCCTTCCCTGGCTCCCGGCCCTCCTCAGAGCTGCTGACTTGGTTACCCACGTGTGCGGTTCTTTTAATTTCTGCGCTCCACAGCTGCCCGCTCCTGTCCGGGCTCAGCCCACGTGCGCCCCCAGCTCCCTTCCCGCCTGCCTGCCGAGGGCCCTGGCGCCGTAACTGGCTCGCCCACCCTTCCTCCTCAGGCTTGGCTGTGCTGGCCCTGCACGAGACTGGGCTGCACGCCGCCCTAACGCACGGACGAGGAAGGCCCCGACGTACTTGGTTTGGAGCGTGGCGGACCGGGGGCGAGCAGGGGGTGCGCCAATTCCGCACTGCAGGTTACTTCAGGAAAAAAAGGTGCCAGTCACGACCCACTGAACTCATCTCGCCAAGTGCAGTTTAAAACACTGTGAGCTGACGAAAAAGTTTCGAGGAGGGCGCGTGGAAGGCCGCCCAGCCGGGGTCAAGGCCCCAGTTTGCTAACGCGCCCTTTGAGACGGGCACGGACCCCATGCAGACTTAACTTCCTCCAACCGACGGTAACAGAGCACCAGGCGCCCGAGCTGCCGCGCGCGGCGGTGGGAGGACCGCGCGCCCGACCGCGCCGAGCCTGGCGGGCGGGGCCGGAAGTGAGGCCAGCGGAGCGCCTGTCGCGGCCAGTGCTCATTGGCCGGGGGCGGGGCAGGGGGCGGGGCGGCGCTCGGCGTTCCTTGAGCTGCTGCTTGCCGGTACTTTTGGGTTGCGCGCCTTTGCTGGTCTACCCGCTGACCCTCCAGCCGAGCTGCATGCTGACGGCCTCCTCACCCGCTCGCTCGCCCCTTCCCGCACCGCCCGGCCTGGTATGTGGGGACGGGGACGTCGGGGGGGCCGGCTCCCAGTGGGAGCTGGGGGTGGGGACTGAGCGACCCCCGGACTTTCTCCCCTCTCGCCTCCCCTCCCCAGCCGGCTGCAGGGGGTTGAGGGTGAGATTCGCGGCCCCGGACTCCTTTCATTGGAAAGACTTGTTCTCTCCTCCGGGAGCCCCAGAGGCTCTGGGCAGCAACCCGGGTCCGCCAGCCCGGGTAGCGGGCTCAGTGCCCGCCATCACGTTACTCCTGCAGAATGGGTTCAGAGTCACACTCTGAGTTCTGGGGACTCACGGGGCGCGGAGCAGGATTGAGAGGCGGGATAAGGGGGAGAAATAATAGAGAAAGCAGGATCCGCCCCACGTCGTAGGCTTTTGTGGCTTTCTTTTTCCACTTCTTCCTCGCTTCACTCATTATATCTGATATGCCCTTGGCCCCAAAATCTACCCTAGCCCGGGTCTGCTTCATCTGAATCTGACATTGGCCGATAGGGGATCCTGGGTAAATTTGGACTACTCATTCTCTAGGCTTCGGCTGTCTCATCTGCATGGGGTGCGGGCGGTTCTCTGGATGACCTCTTTGGGATTTCACTGCCAATAACAGCAGTTTTCTCCTAGGGCAGGTGTCCTGGTAGAAGAGTGGCCGGCTCTCAGATAGCCTATGCTCTTTAGACTTAGTTTAGCCTGGGAATAGCGAAGTGACTGGGCAGTCAACCTCACTTTTCTGTGCCTTGGTTTCCACATTGGTAAAATTGGACAGCTGTTATCTGAGTGTGAGGCCTCCTCTGACCACTGTATTTAATATTGCACCCCACTGACTCCCTCTCTTGTTTCTGTGTTTGTTTTACGTGTTTATTAGTTCTATCTTACCCCTACTAGGGACATAAGTACCACGAATGCAGGGTGTTTTGTTTGTCTTATTCACTGCTATATTCCCAGCTCTAGAACAGTGCCTAGAGCATGGCAGGTACTCAATAAATAATTGGAGAATGTTGCCTGAATAGGAGCAGGTGTTGCTTGTGGTGCCTGTAGCTCCAAAGTGAGTGAGTAGCAGCCCTCTTACTCCAAGGCTGCCCTGCCTCCCTTCCTGCCCTGAATCCTTTCTTTCTCTCTTATGACAGAGTCAAAGAAGGAGGGAAACCCCAGAAGTTTTACGTCCCCTCTGACTGCTTGGGCCTCCTTGACCAGATATGGTCCTGCTAGGCCAGGATGGGGGTCTTGAGAGGGAATGATATTGACCAGCCCCTCCTTCCCCAGGCACAATGCCTCACCCAGTACTCCCTCCCTCCTTGCTGTTCACCTCATTCTTTATTTTACATAGCACCAAGCTCTCGGTCTTACCTCCTTTCTCTGGGTTCCCCCCATAGCTCCAGGGTCTTGGATATGGATCTTCTTCAGTTCCTGGCCTTCCTCTTTGTCCTGCTTCTCTCTGGGACAGGAGTCACAGGCACCCTGAGGACCTCCCTGAACCCGAGCCTGGAGATCTGTATCCTTTGGGGTTGGAGGTGGGATTAATGAGCTGTTTCTGAGAGGTATATAGATGAGGTCTCTCTGTACCCATTACCCCTTGGGAGATTCCAGGGATGGAGCAGACTCAGCTGATGGGAACAGGGAAGGAAAGGTAAGGTGCTCTAACCAGATGTTTCACTAAGTCAATTTCTTCTAATCCTCAGTTTCCCCATATATTAAATGGAGAGAGCAAGACATATCTCTCAGAGCCATGAGGGCTCTGAGGATTATACATGTGCCTTACACTTTGTGGATGAGACCCTGGGAGGAGATGCAGGCCCTGGCATACTGGGCCACCTATTCTGGGTTAGGCCTTGGGGACACAAAGTTTAGTCAGGATTAGTCCCTGGCTTTGAGGTGTTGACAGGCCTCACGTTGTACTCTGTGATCAGCACTCCAGTGGAAGATGGGAGGGGTCAGGGAGAAATACTGTTCTATGGGTTTTAAACTAGCTCTTGAAAGAATAGAAACTCATGGAGAAGGGTGAGGGGTATCCCAGGCAGAGTGTACAGTGTGAGCATAGGAACAGAAGTTGTGGGAACAGTGGGTAGTTGTGAGAGATGGTGGGAAAACCATGGGAGAGGAGGATGGGAGCCAGATCCTGAGGCTGTTGGTGTGGAATCCTCTGTGAAATGGACAAATGATACATTGCAGGATTCGTAAGCTCCTCAGACCGTTTGTTCTGGTCTGGGGGTGTGGGGGGTCTCAGCCATGGGCATCTATGGTCCTTGCAGATACTCACTGATTAAGAATGGGCCCTCTGGATCTGGACCACTAGATTATCGAGGCAGGAGTATCAGTGGCAGCTCCTTAACTTAGTGCTGCTCAGACAAGAAGATGTTTGAGGTGAAGCGACGGGAGCAGCTGTTGGCGCTGAAAAACCTGGCACAGCTGAATGATGTCCACCAGCAGTACAAGATCCTTGATGTCATGCTCAAGGGGCTCTTTAAGGTGTGTACAGCAGGGGGCAGCTCATGGCAGGCCTAGTCTTTGATCTGGGCACTGATGGATGAGTAGGAGTTCCCTAAGGGGATGGTGTTCAGTGAGGGGGGAGCTGCATGCACAAAAGATTGGAAGTAGGGTTTAAGTAAATGGAGCTGGGGCTAGTCTGTGAAGGCCTCTGCAAAGCCACTCAGCCCAGGTGGGGTTCCCTCAGGTGCTGGAGGACTCCCGGACAGTGCTCATTGCTGCAGACGTGGTCCCTGATGGGCCCTTCCCCCAGGACGAGAAACTGAAGGATGGTATGGTTTTCCCAATCTCGCCCTCTCCTCCCACCACCTTGATCTTCACTAGCTGCTTCTTCCCTCCTGTTCTTGTCACTCTTTTTTTCTCTCTGGAAGTACCCTCTTGTGGCACCTTCCAAGTGGTCCCCATGGGTGGATGGGCACTTCAGAGCTAGTTTCTTTGTCCCTGATGCAGATGTACTCCCTTGTGCTGTCCTGTGCTGGGGGCAGGGGAGCCAGAGAGGAGCCTCTACGCACTTCTATTCCAGGATCATTGCCTTCTCCACCACCCTGATCCTTCTGGTAGAGAAGATAAGGATTGTTCCCGTTCACAGGAGAAAAAATTGAGGCCTGTTGCGGTGACTGGCCAGTGGGTCAGTTATCAGTGCTCTTTACTACTATTGTAAAAGCCCCAATCCCCTTAAATCCTTTTTGAGACAAGGTGGGACACACGTAGACAAATCAGATAAAAGAATAGTCTGTGCCCTTTCATCCCCCCTTCCAAGAATTTCTCTCCAGTGTTAATTTCCCCCCTGTTAACTGGTTATGTTCTAACAATAAAATTTCTGAGATTACGCTGTCTGAGAGAGGATGGAAGCAGCCTTTACATATTGAATGGTGGGCACTTTACAAATATCATCTCTAATTTCCACCGTAACTCTGAGGAAGGCACTATTACCTCCATTTTCCAGATGAAAGAGGACAAGTGGTTTGCCCTGGCTCTTACGTGTAAACCAAGATAACTTCTGAGTTCTTTGAGGTTCAAGATTGTTTTGAAGCCCAGAGGTCTCTGCCCCACCTGTCTCAGACCCAACCTGGCATCTCTTTGGAGGAGTTTGCTTATCTCTGTGTGTTGCCTGGCCAGTGCTAGTGAGGGCTGCCTGGGCCTTATCTGCAGGGGTCACTTGAACAGGGGCCACCCCTAGGGCTGGGTATATAGTTATTCTTCATGCTAGCTTGGGTTGGGGGGGACCTGCCACCATAATGGACACTAAACTCAGTCTAAACTGACCTGTTGGCCAGAGGAAGGATATTAGTGGGAAAATTGATGAAATTCAAATAAAGTCTATGGGTTAGTTAATAGTCTTGAATTGATGTTAATTTCCTAGTTTAGATAGTTGTACGGTGGTTATGCAAGATGGTAACATTAGAGGAAGCCAAGTGAAGGAATTTTGTGGTGTATTATGTAAGTCTAAAATTATTTCAAAATAAAAACTTAAGAAGCATTTAAAATAAAATAAAGTTGGAAGAGCATTTTAAAAAACACAACAAAAAACCCAGACATGTTCCCTGGTCATCCTAACACCTGATCCCTCATAGACACTGTACTTGTGTTAACACCAGGGCCCAACTCTGGACATCTGGATACCAAGTTGGGGAGGTTAGGCCCAGCAAAGCCTCATGTGATGCATATGCGTTCATGTGCAAAATGATATCCACTTCTCTGGTCCCCAAAGCAAAGGAGTCTCCTAAGCCTTGAGATGCAGGGGAAAGAGCATGGTCTGGGTTTGCAGCTCAGATTTGCTGCTCATTAGCGTCTGAGCCTCAGTTTCCCATGTGTAAAATGGGAACAGCAGCCACATCTCCCTCTAAAGGTGGTTTTGAGGAGTTGGTGATCTGGTGGACATATAGCCCTCAGCGTGCAGTGCACATATGGTCAGCAGCCTATGGGCAGCAGGCACTGTTCCCTTCTCTGATTAGTGGGCTTGCCTCAGTTTTCCGGAGGGTTCCATGGGGCTGGCCAGGAGGGCAATAGAAGGGCATCTGCCCTGGCCACTCATCAGAGTCCTCTCGCCAGCTTTCTCCCAAGTGGTGGAGAACACGGCCTTCTTCGGCGATGTGGTGCTGCGCTTCCCAAGGATCGTGCACCACTACTTTGACCGCAACTCCAACTGGAACCTCCTCATCCGCTGGGGCATCAGCTTCTGCAACCAGTCAGGCGTCTTTGACCAGGGGCCCCACTCGCCCATCCTCACCCTGGTAAGGACTACGGCAGAAGAGGTCCGGGAGCCCTGTGTCTTGTGGTGCACTGTGAGCTGCACATCTGCCTTCAGTTGGGCCTGAATGTCAGCCCTTGGTTACCTTTTCTGTGATGACCCTCAGGGCACCTTGAGGTGCCATCTCAAGGGGTTCTGTGCTGACCTGGGTTTGTCACCTGGCTCACATTTGCCTAAGCAGTGGGCCTGGGTCCCAACATGGAGGGAGTGGCCTGCAGGGAGCAAGAGGGAGAAGGCAGAAGATGACTAGCTTTTCCTCATCTGCAGATGGCCCAGGAGCTGGGGATCAGCGAGAAAGACTCTGACTTCCAGAACCCATTTAAAGTAGACCGCACGGAGGTGAGCTTTGGGGGCCTGTGGCTGTGTTTGCTCTGTCTCTATTGGGCCATGGGCGGTCAGGTCCTGCAGGGGCTGGGGCACCTAGGGTGGAGTATGAGGGCTTTGGACTTGGAGTCAGATCTGCCTGGGTCTGGGTCCAGGAACCATCACTCACTCACTGGTGCTTTTGGACAAGCTGCTGCCACTGTCTTAACCTCAGGCTCCCTGTCTGTTCACGGGTTGTGGACCCCAACTATGAGGGCAGTCATAGACTGTGCACATACCTGTCCCAGTGCATGATAGACACCACATATCAGGCGAATGTCAAGGAAGCCAGGGGAGGTCAAGCCATTCTCCTCTGCCCTTGAATCTCTGAGCACCCAGCTGAGCTTCTGTCCCCCATTCCGGCACATGCTCTTGTCCTGGGTGGCTGAGGTGTGCTCTGAGGGCTGGAGGCTGCAGGGTAGGACGACAGATAGGGACACATAGAGTAGCAGGGAGGAGGGGATCAGAGGTGGCAGCGCAGGGCCAGAGGGGCAAGAAGGAAGGGCTGGAGGACTGGACTCAAGTCACAGGCTCTCCCCTGGTTTAAGGAGGGGCGTCAGGGTCTATGGGGGGTCTAGGATTTTACCCTGCTTGTGGGCTAACAAGCTAGCTTGCTACTGTTTCACAGATGCTGACAGGTTGGAGACATCAGAGTTTATTACAGCGAAAGCAGTATCTAGACTGTTGGCCTGATCATGTGGGTTCCCCTTGCTCCCCAAGTCCCACAGGGGTGACACAGAGGGGCCCAGGCAGATGCTCTGCATCCAGTGATTTTGCATTAAGCCAAGGAACACACTGAGCTTGGGAAATTCACTGCCTTTACAGTGAGCAGAAGCAAACCTGCTCTTTGGGGGCAGACATCACCTCCTCCTTTAAGGTTGCTCTCTGTAAATACAACTTGGAGAAATGGCCCATGTACAGAGTAGTCAGGGCTTTGCATTCTTGGTGTACCCAGCAAGAACTTGTAAGGACGCTCAGGGCCGTGGCAGATTGCCTCCCCCACGGTCTACCCCTCAGGCCTTCATGTTTTGGCTTAACTCAAATTTCCACATGGACATGCTATTCAGTCTGATTAATCCAACTGGTAGAGGCTAGGACCAAATTTGTTCAATTTGTCTCATACTGCATTTGATTAAGGCTGCCATCAACAGAACTCGAGCAGGACGAGGCCACCCTGCAGTATTGATCTCAACCATATGTTCCAGGGTCCTGGACTCAGCCAGCTATGATATTGGTCTTATATTAGACAATCAGAATGTGGTCTAAGGCCAATCTATTATCCATTACCACCTACACAAGAGTTTAGACTGATCTGCTGATCTTTGATGTCAGTAATTACAGGGGTCACTGGATGGACCCAAAGCAACCCTCATCCCCAGTGGAGAGACATTCTATGGCCCACGGTCTCCCACATGTTACACTTGATTTGGGTCACCATTACATTATTTGACTGAGCCCCGAGGGCAGTGTCACTGCAGAATTGCAGCCTCAGTTGCCCTGCATGGCATAACCTAAGGATGCTCAGGCATCAGGAGAAGCAGATGGATTTGTATCTGTCAAATTGAAACAAGGTTGCACTGGCCTGTGTGTCTGCACAGGGTCACTTCAGGAGCTGCCTTTGATGGCATCAGGCACAGCAGAATAGTTAAGTACTGACTGTGTCCATGTGAGTTTTCCTATCATGTGGTTGAGAATGACACACCCAACAGCTGGTCAGATTGTCAGCTGCAGCTGCCACTTGGCTTGGGCAGACCCTAAGATTGTTTTGCCAAGTGGTGGTGCTGGATCTAAGGGACAAAGAGGATTAATTGTTCCCCACACCTCCTGGGATCTAAGGCGTCCCCTCTCCAGATGCCAGGATTATTGCTACAAAATCCATGTGTTATATCCCAGGACCTATAATTTCACTTTTTCTCCAATCATCCCTTACTTTCACCTAGACCTTTTGTCCAGAAGGGTCAGATGTGAATGAGACAAGGGCATTTTTACAAAATTTTCGGAGATACATTATATCTTCCATCTTGGCCCACATGGGCCCTACTATTCCAGCCAGGGACTCTAGGTGGTCAAACCAGAAAAACAGAATCTTCTGCTTTGTGCCAGTCCATGGTGGCAGGTGTGTTGCCACATCTGATACAATGATGCATTTAGGTGGCAATGCCAGTCAACTGGGCAGTGTAGGCTTGGTCAGCATTTTGATCCTGGTCAGTCTCATCAGAGAATGGGCCTTACTCTGGGCATCTAAATGAGTGACCAGGACTGTGCATTTGTCAAGATCATTGTCTGACTGGCCTTTATGACAGTTAGCCTTCCAGTGTTGTCACTGGGGCTAGATGGCTGTTGCTGCCCAGACACCTGTGTCGAGGGTTCCCAAAACCACCACAAGTTTGATGATTCACAGGACTCAATGGAGTTGTTCTCACAGCTGTGATTTATTACAGCAAAAGCATACAAAGTAAAATCAGCACGGGGAAAGGCACCTGGGACGAAGTCTGAGGGAAACCAGGTAAAGCTTCCAGGAGTCCGCTCAGTGGAGTAACACAGGACACAATTCCCCCAGTAACAAGTTGTGGCAACACGTGTGAATAGTTGTCTTATCAGGGAAGCCAATTAAAGACTCAGTGCCCAGGATTTTTATTGGGAGCTGGTCATGTGGGTACCCTCTGCTTCATGCATACCAAAATTCCAGACTCCCAGAAGGAAAGCAGGTGTTTAGGATAAACCACATTTTTTACACAAATAGCTTAGGCACAGTGAGCCACTCTTATCCATTAGTGTGGTGGGAACCCTTCGAAAATCCAAGTTCTCAGATATCAGCCAAGGGCCGACCTTGGAAGCAGGCATTTCAAGGATAGCAGTCACATTGGCTACGTTAACTCTTTTTCTGCACAGCACCATTAGCTCTTAATTTAGGTGAACAATCAGTGTACCAAGCCTGAGTATTTAGAGGAACCTCTGAATCATGGGCCCTGTTGAGTCAGTGGCTTTGCTTCAGGCAGCAGAGTGGAGGATATGGTTTTCCCCACTAGGGTAGCTGCCACCCCTTCATGTAAAACTGAGATGACACATGCCCCAAAGTTGCTTGCTGCAATCACAACCCTGATAAATGGCCTGGGTAAGAACAGTCAGGGCTGGGTTCTTGGTGCACTCAGCAAGAACATGCAGGGAGGCTCAAGGCCATGGCAGATCACCTTTCCCAGTGAAGGGGCGTCCTTGGAGATGCTTTATTGCTGTGATGCTGGGTCTCCTTGCCCTGCAGGTCATGAATGCCTCATACAGGAGGAGAGGGAGAACATGGGCCACAGAGAGGATGGGTGCCAGGATACATTTAGTTTAGCTTCATCAATATGTGTTGTGCTTGGATATAACCATAGCAGCAACATACTTTCCTGACTTCTCATTGGCTGTGGACTGTCCAAAGAATTTACTCACGTTTTGGTATCCAATGTGGACCTGTCCACCAGCAGCAGCCCAGGTTTGCTCGTCTCCCCTCATGCGCTCCCTCCATGCTGGTGAGTGTTTTGGGAGTCCTCTCCTACTTATGTACCCATCAGTAAGCCAACTCGTATCAGGTGGTGTGCTGCCCACTGTCCCTGTCCAGAAGGAGCTAGCCCTCTCCCTGCTCTTCAGATGCTCAGTCTGTTGGGGAAGGCTGCAGGGAAACACAGTCCCTATCTAGTGTGATCACTGTATCAGTGGATGAAGGAAGCATGATGAGCCTTGGGACCCCTGAGAGGGAGCCTGACTCAGCCTCAGCAGGTAGGCGATGGAGGCTCTGGGATAAATAAGAGTTGCTGGGTGGACCAGCTCAGGGAAGACCTTCCAGGCAGATGGACTAGCTTGCACAAAGGCTCAGAGGCATAGGAGATGCATTCATTCAGCATTTAGTGAGCATCTAACTGAATCCTAGCCACTAGAGAAGCATACTAGCCCTGTCTCCTGGGAGTGGCACTTTAGTTGGAGGAGACAGATGGTCAATTAAAAATATATAGTATGGTAGGTGGTGACAAGGGCTAAGGAGAAAAAAGTAGGGGGATGTGGTTAAGGAATTCCATGGACAAGGTGGGGGTACGGTTGCTGTTTCACCTGACTGGGCACTGAAGTTCTGACTGAAAAGACCTGAAAGAAGTGAGGGAGCCAGCTGTGTATCTGGGGGAAGAACATTCCAGGCTAATGGAGCGGCAAGTGCAAAGACCCTGAGTTGGAAGCATATTTGGAGAGGTGGGGAGTGTGAGAAGATGAGGTCAGAGTTGTAGACCAGATCACAAGACCCTTGGAGGTCTTCTCAGGAGCTTTGGCATTTAATCCAAGACATGGAGAGCAGGGTGATGAGCTCTGACTGACCCCTTTAAAGGATCAGCCTGTTGCTGTGTGGAGAATAGTTTGGGGGATCATGGTGGAAACAAGGACACTGGGGAGGAGGCTGCTATGCTTGTCCATTTAGGAATTAATGATGACTTGAACCAGGGTGATAACAGTGGGGCTGGTGAGGAATAGTGAGATTCTGGTTCTGTTCTGAAGGTAGAACCAATAAGATTTGCTAAGGAAGCAGATGTGGAGTGAGAGAGATGCACTGATGACTCAGATTTTTGGTCTGAGCATGTGGAAGAATGGGGCTGCCATTTCCTAAAATGGGCAGACTCTGGTGGGACCAGGTTGAGGCCTGAATTGGGGATCAAAACTTTGTTTCTGGACCTGGGGAATATCTGAATGAAGATGTCAAGGAGGCAGTTGAATATATGACTCTAAATTTCAGAGAAGAGGTTGAAACTGGAGCTACAAATGTGAGAGTCATGCTTACGAAGAGGATATTGATACCACTGGAGCAGATCATGTCCCATCACTTGGGGAGGGTTGGGGTCAGGGCAGATAAAGCAGTGGTCTGAGGACTGAGGCCTGGAACGTACGTACTGTAGTTAGAGGTAGGAGAGTGAGGAAGAACTAGCAAAGAATCCCGAGAAGGAACAGTCAGTAGGATAGTAGCAAACCCAAGAGAGAGTTGTTTCCCAGAGGCCACGTGAAGAAAGTTACAGGAAGGAGGGAGCGATTGGCCTGTCAAACACTGCTGGAAGTCAAGGAAGATGACGCCTGAGAATTGGCTGCCGGGTTTAGCAACATGGAGACAGGCCATTAGAGATCTTAACAAAAGCTATTTTGGTGGAGTGGTGGGGACAAAAGATTGGGTTTCAAGAAAGTGAGGGGTAAGGGAGTGGAAGCAGCAAGTACAGACCAACCTTTTGGAGAGTTTTTTTTTTTTCCCAAGAGGAGCAGACCAATGGGAGAATAGCTGGTGGAGAGTGTGGGTTCCAGGAGAAATTTTAGTCAGATAGGAGAGACCCATGAGGGAGGAAGGACTGTGATGGTGCAGCGGTAGGAGAGTTGCTGGAGCCTCATCCCTAAGGAAGTGAGGAAGGAAAAGAGATCTGGTACCAAGGGGAAGGGTCAGCCTTGCCTGGAAGGCTGTGGACACAGAAGCAAATGGGTTGGTGAGTGTGGCGGTGGGAGCTTGAGGAAGTTGTCTCCTGAGTGCTTCCATTCTCTGTGAAATCGGAAGTAAGGGCATGGTCTGCTAGTGAGGAGGCTCTAAAAGAAGGTGTGCCTAGGAGAGCGGGCTGACCAGGGCAATGTCCTGGATTGCCAGGCAGCACAAAGGGCCTGCTTGAGGTTAGCATCAGGAACTTAAAGTAGGCCTTAGCTAGGCCTAGTGAGGAAGGGATCTGGGAAAGGGATAGGCAGTGTTTCTCTTCTAACTGAACTAGGTTTGGTTTCCCCTGATGAGGCTGAGCCAGTTAGGACTCGGGGAGCCAGGATCTCTGGACTTGCTTTTCCCAAGCCAGAGCCAGAGGGTGTGGGGTCCTCTGTGGCCTGAGGGGTCTCCCAGCTCCTCACCCCTCCCAAAGGGATCACAATTAACTTGTAGGGGTAGGAGGTAGAGCGTAGTAGGGGAAGCACTGGGCAGGGAGGTGGGAGGCCTTCGGGCTAGTCCCAGTTGGGCCTCCCACTTGCTGTGTGACTTGAGCACATCGTATCCTCTCTGGACCACACCTTGGTTTCACCCAATCTTCCAGGCTCATGGTTCAATCTAACATGGTAGGTAGATTACTCTACAAGGTGGAGCTCCTAGTTTGTTTTTAATGTCTACATTGATCAAACATTTGTCAAATTTCCCCAAAGGACAGATAAAATGGGCATATTTTACATCATAATTACCTGAGTTTTGGGTACTATTGTATTTCATATTCTAACATGACACATTCATTTAAAAAATACATGCTGAGTGCTATATAAGCCAGGCAGGCCCTGCATTAGGGGCTCGTGGCACAGTGAGCAACACCTGACACCATCCTCTTGTCATGAAGTGTGCCATCCAGTGGGGACGACAGGCACGAAGCAGGTGGTCACAAGGGAGAAGCACTGAGAAGGAGGCAGTCCCCACCCCACCCAGGAGTCAGGGCAGGTCCCCCAGGGCAGTGACAGTTGAGCTGGAGCTAATGTGGCAAAGGGGGCGGGGGCTGGAAAGAGCATTCTGGGCCTGGGCTCACAGCATGTGCAGAGGCCTGGAAGTGAGAGTGCACAGGGAATCCAAGAACCAAAAGGTGGGGAGTGTGAGGGAGGAACAGAAGGTGGGCAGGGTAGGGTGGACCCGCAGATACAGCCGTGTGGAACTTTATCCCCAGTAATGGAGAGTGTGGAAAGGTTTAAGCAAGGGTGTGACATGATCAGATTTGCATTTTGAAAAGATCTAACTGCAGTGAGGAGAATGGCTTGAGAAGGACCAAAGTGAGTGTGGAGAGACCTTGGGAGGCTCCCAGTCATTGGGGAAGAGGTGGAGATGGTGATGGGAGTAGCAATAGGAGAGACAGAGAGTAGTAGATGGGTTTGAGAGATACTTAGGGCTTAAAGTGAGCCAGGCTTGGCAATGGACTCAGTGTGGAGGGAGAGGGCTGGGGTGAGGGCTCTCAGTTTCTGCCTTACTCGCCTAGACTAGGGTCTGGGGCACCACTGTTCATGAGGATGGTTGCTGGAGGAGGACTGAGATTAGGGGAGATGGAGCCATGCCAGGTTTGGGGCACATTTGGGACATCCTAGTGGACGTGTCAGGCCTTTAGATATGGAAGTGTAGATTTGGGGTCTAACTGACCATACAGGCGTAACAGAAGCCATAGGTTTAGATGAGCCAGTCTGGAGAGAGCCGAGGGAGAAGAACAAAGGGTCTGGGGATTGCACTTGAAGAATGCCCCAACTGAAGTCCTCATCCTCCTCCCACCCCGGCTCCCGCCGTGTTCCGCCTCCTTATTGGCACCGCCATCCATCCACTATAGAATCAATGTCCTGGGCACCATTGTCTTCTCCTCTTCTTACCACCTCTTTTTCAGGGTCTGCCAGTTTGACCTCTGATCTACCTGCTTCCTGTGCACTCCCTTGCCTAGACACTGCAACTTGTTTGCAAGCAGCAAGACACCTGCTGTCCCTTACTCTCACCTGGCTTCCCTCCCCTGCTGCTTGAGGGTGTGACAGCCAGGGCTCCAGGGACCTGTGGTTGGCTTGGGGACTCTGCCCCCTCACCCTGGGAGGAGTCTGTTTATTGTTTCTCAGATGCCCCCTGCAGGTTCACTCAGCACCTGTCCCTCTCCCTGAAATGTCCTTCTCTTCCCTCACCCTGTTTGCTCACAAGCTTCAAGACCCACTCAGCAGTTTTTCCCAAGCTCATTTAACTGTCTCCATGTCTGTGGGCTCCCTGAGGGCAGGGCCTATGTCTAAGTAACCTTCCTGTCCCCCCAGCCCCAAGTGGCTTAGCCCAGAGCATACTGTTTGCTGCTCGCAAACTAAATCGGACTGCTCTGTTCTTCCCCTTAGTTCATTTCCAGCACCGACCCATTCCAGAAGGCCCTGAAGGAAGAAGAGAAACGCCGAAAGAAAGAGGAGAAGCGGAAAGAGATCCGAAAAGGCCCACGAATCTCTCGTTCCCAGTCTGAGTTATAGGCCTGGAGCAGTCCAGGGTTCAAGGGGTCAGAAGGAGGCCAGTCAAGAGGAAGAGGAGGAGGCAGCATGGCCAGGATGCAGTGACATCGACTGGTGGTGAGAGCCGGTCCCTGTGAGAGGGGAGGCCACATTTACTTGGCCCCCTGCAGCCGGCTCTGAGCTCCCGCTGAAAGGACTGGGTCGCAGAGGGCTGGATTTCATCCCAGGGGCTTCCCTGGAGGAGGCGTCGAGAGGGCCTTTAGAGGATGCTACGCTGCAAACCTAACCCTGTGGAGATACTGGGGGAGGCAGGAGGGATCCTGGGCTGGACCCTCCCCATGGGTTAGGAATGCTGGTCAGCTGGCTGCTGGCCCCACTGTGTCACTAAGCCACCAGGCACAGGTCTCAGCCCCCGGCCTTGGCAGAGACATAATAAAAGCCAGCCAACCCTCTGCGCTAACTGAGGCTGGTTTGGGCCCCAGGGATCTGTGCACCCCTCCACAGGACAGGTGACAAAGGGTCTGGGTGGGACGACCATGGACCCTGAGAGATGTAGAGACCACCTTAGAGGATGTTCCTGCCCTATCAGGAGGAGCCCCTGGCCCTAGCTGGGCAGCAAAGCAGGGACTTGGCTCAGGCCTCCTCTTCCTTTCTTATCACTGTCCTTGATGAAGGATCAGTATTGGGAAAGGATCAGAAGTGTCGTGGGAGGGTGTTTAGCTCAAGATGACCTCAGAGCAACATGATCTCTGTCTTCAGATATCTGGGGATAGTCATTGAGCAGGCACAGGGAAGAGTCAACCTGTCTTCTCTGACAACGCTGGGAGACCCTTAGCCTGTGGGTAGGGGCTGTTGGGGGACAGGCTGCAGCTCTGCAGGGGGATGTGCTGTAATCCTCCTGTAATGGCAGGGCTGCCCCGACCTGGATTGGTCAGACAGCAAGCTCCCTGTCTCAGGAGTTGTGCAAGCAGAGACCAGTGGCCATAGGGCAGGGAAGCTTCAGAAGGAGTTAGACCTTGAGTGAGCAGCTGCCATTCAGTTGTGCCCCTCCCAGGCAGAGGAGGGAGGGGCTCTGGTGGGAAATCTAGCCCGGCCTCTTTGACCTTGCCAAGCCAGGGTCTGCCTCTTCAGAGGAGATAGACACACGCCCATCCCCAGAATCCCTAGCCCCCCGCAACTGACAAAGCCCAAGGGAGACCTGAGTCTTGCTTGTCTCAGCCCATCAGACTTGCTGAGTGACCCTGGCCACCCCTTCCCTGTTTTGTGGCTTCACTGGCAAAATGAATTTGATAATGTCTGAACTCTCTGCCCAGCCCTAAACTGTTTCTCTGAGGCTGGGGCTGGACTTGTCAGTGACAGGTGGTTCTTTGTTTGTCCCATAGACTTGTTGGGTACCCACTGTATGCGCAGCCAAAGAGAGGGGCCCAGTCTTACCTGTCTTCACCTCTGCCCCATCTGGCACCTTCATCCTCCTGGGCTCTTCCTTCACCACCTTCAGCCTCTCTCCATCTTGGTCAATTCCTTCCTCTCTGCCCTCAGATGGGCCCAAGTTTTCTCATCTGACACCTTCAAACAAACAAACAGAACCATTCTGCTTTCCCCACTCTCCTTCCCTTTGCTGCCATTGTTGACTGTTGTGATCACTTGTTCGCAGAACTCCACCTTGAGTCTTACTGCAGGCACAACCTGCCCACCTCCCCACCAGGAGCTATAAAGGCCTGAGGGCACTTCTTTGTCCAGCCTCCTTGCAGCTAGGATTTAGTTCTGTGACTGAAGTGCCACCAACCAGATGCACCAGCCTGTGTGGAAGTTGTGCTGGTGGGAGGCAGGGGCCACAGGTACCAGGGGCAGCAGTGGGGACATTCTGGTGGCCAGAGCCGCACCAGTGGTGCTCAATGGTGGCCAACAGTGATGTCTTCAGTGGTGTTTTCAGAGTGCTCTTGGATGTTGTTTCTTTCTGCTGAGCTTCCAGGCCCAACTTGAGGCATCCCTGGAGAGTCTGGGAGCTCCCCAATATCCTCTAACGCAGGGTTTCTCAACAGTGGCACTGTTTACATTTGGGGCCAGATAATTCTTTGTTGTGTTTGTGAGGAGGGCTGTCCTGTGTGTTGTAGGATATTTAGCAACATTCTTGGCCCCTATCCACTAAGGCCAGTGGAATCTCTCAGGACAACAAAAAATGTCTCCAGACATTGCCAGATGTCCCCTGGGGCAAAATCTCCCTGGTCCTCAGCCCTTTTCCCTCCTTATCCCAGCCTCACATCTTCTGCTGTCCCCAATCACTGCCCTCAGAGAGATGCTGTTGACAGCTCCTTCTTCTGGAGATGATCCTCCCAGGCTTTTGGGCCACTTGTTGTCTTCGTTCTCTACCCTCAGTCTGAGTCTGTTCTGTCTCTTCCTGATTCCTCCTTCTTCACCTGCCCCTTAAATGAAGAGTTTTTTTCAGCTTAGTCTGTCCTCTCTGCTCTTTTGTTCTTGGCAGCTGCATCCTCTAAGACCCCAAAGCTGATGGTACCTGCCCTGTTGCCATCTGATGATAACCCTCAGTCCTTATGTTTTAGCTTATCCAAAATCTGACTTGTTATTTCCCACCTCTGAGCCTCACCTCTGTGTTGAACAGTGGGGTACATGCTCTTGCTTAATTCTGGAGGAAGTGACACCTGAACTGAATCCTAAAAGATTGTGGGAGGAGGGAGAAGGAGACAGGCACTGTGAGCAGAGGCCTAAAAGGGGAGGCGTGAAAGGTAGCAAATGAAAAAACGTGCAAAGTTCTCTTCTGTGACCTGTAGTCAGTACCCAGTCTGTGGTGGACGTTCCGGACGTAATGGTTTTCAAATGAAGAACCGAGGTCCTGACATGTCTAAGGCTGCTCCACCCCTGAGAGCCAGCCTCTGTTGTCTTCCTGGCCAGGGCAAGTGCTAACTGGAAGAGATGTTCAGTTAGGTGAGATCCAGGGTCAAAGGGAGAATGTCCGTGTTTTTGCTGAGGCTGGGTCTAGTGCAGCCATCTTTTTTCCGCAGTTTCTACTGAGCCTTCATTTGTGCCCCCTCAAGCCACTTTACTAGGCACCACAGCCTCTGGGACAGGTCCAGGTGGAAGCCATGGGAACAGCTGCAGAGTGGGAGGCACTGTGCCCACTTACCTGACCTCCTGGTGCTCAGGCAGCCCTCTGCAGTTGGCAACGGAGGCTCTGGGATGGGAGGGCACTGGACCAAAGTGAGTCATATGGTAGGCTAGCAGTCACTTACCCTACAGGGTGGGGACCCTGTGAGAACCACTGAGGCGCAGTTGAAGATGGTACTGTCCAGCTCAGTGCCTGGTCCAGAAAACGGCAGCAGGGTTTGGTTTTTTGTTTCAGGGTGAGATTGGTATAGCCTACACCAACTCTCCTGCATGTAAGCAATGAAGAGAACATTCTTGTCTTTTTTTTTTTCCAAAAAATAAGACACTTGATTTCTTATGTTACACATACATGTTCATTATAAAAAGTAATTTAGACAATACTGAAATACCAGTTCATCCTAAATCCCACCACTCCCATGATCGTGACTAACACTCAGCTGTTGGGCCTTCCATCCTGTCTGCCCTTCGTGTGAGCACATAGATCCCTGTTTTTCAATACAGTAGCTATCTGTATGTGCACTGACTATATGCCAGGCTTTATGCCAAGTGCTGGCTGGCAGCAGATCATCTTGCCTCAGGGCCTTTGCCCATGTTGTCTATTCCCCTGGCTATGCCAGATGCGGTTCTCTCCTCATAACTTTAGATTTTATCTTAAACTCAGAGTTCTTTCCTGACATCCCAAGTCAGGTTCCTTGTTACAGTTTCATCACACCCATTCCTTTCCCTTGATCATTTGTACCATTATCTATTACTTATTTTTATTTTTGTTTAATGTCTGTTTTCTTCATTAGACTGGAAGCTCTCAGAGGGCAGGAACTGTCTTTTTGCCTGCCAGAGATGTTTAATAAATACTGTCGAATGTGCAAATGATCTCATTTAATCTTCACAACTATGAGGGGGCACTATTCCCTTGCCCCCGTTTTAGAGATGACAAAACTGAGGCTTAGAACAATTATTTAACCAGCCCCAGGTCACACTGCATAAGTGCTTTCGTATCTGCCTCCACACAGCCTGTGCACCGTTAACAGGGAAACATCTGCCTCTCACAGACTGGCAGGAAACGTACTTTCACTTTTAACAATATATTGTGAAAGTCTTTGTCAATAGATATACATTTATGTACGTAATATTTAACGATGCTATGGTACTCCATCGTGTGGATAGAATTTATTCATCCAGTTGCATATTGGGCTTCCCAATTTTTCCCAGTTATAGGGGACTTTGTGATGAACGTCTTGCAACACATTCTTGTGCACTTCTTTAAGTTCTCGTATTTTTATTCCTTAGAATAAATTCCTAGCAGTTTGTTTACATCGTGACCAGCTGCAACATGGGGCAATGAGGTGCTTAAAGAGTGAGAATCCGTGGGTGGGCTGCGCGTCAGAATCCCTGCGGAACTTTGTCAAAACGCTCATGCCCGGGCCCCACCTCAGGAGGCTTGCGGTGGCCCGGGCACTGGCATCATTTTAAAAGTCTGCAGGCGGTTTTGAGGCTCCGGGGTGAGAACCTTTGGAGCAAGAGCGTGGTCGCGGCAGGTGCAAAGGCGCGGAGGTTGTAAAATGCGCTCTGCACTTGGGCAGTTCGCGGTCCACGCCGGGCCTCTGTTTCCGCCTTTGTAAGAGGCTTGGGAGGAAGGCGACTCCTCCGGGCCCCAGTATTGGGGGAGCAGATTTGATTCTGCCGGCTCTCCCAGGCGGGCAGGCGGGGGCGCAGCTGGGAAGATGATGTAATGTGCTTACAACTTGCTCCGGAGGCGGCCAGTGGGCGGGGGTGGAGCCTATTAACCCTGCAACCCCCGGCCGGTGGATGGAGTAGCTTGCGGAGCAGACGTAACGGAAAAGGGAGCGGCTCCTTTAAACCAGGAGAAGGAGGTTGGGCTGAGGATCCGGAGGGCTCTTGTCGCCGCCGCTACGAGGCCGCGAGGGGAGGGACTTCGCTATGCAAATCTGAGCTGCTGATCGATGACGCGCCATCACCCCACGCGCCACTTCGCGCGCCGATTGGCCTCGACGAGCCTGGTCCCATTGACAACAAACAAGGGGGCGCGCGGCCTGGGGGCGGGGCCGCCGGGGGGGGGGGGGGGGGGGGGGGAACCCCCGCCCCGCCCCTCCCGCGCGGCGCAAACATGGCGGCGGCTGGCACCAGCCGGTGAGGCGGTACCGGGCAGGAGCTGTCGGGTGTCATGGGCGGTGGCGGCAGCACCGCCCCCACGTCTCCTTGAGCGGGACGGCAGGGGGGCCTCCGCGCCGAGCTGGGCGATGGACGAGAGCGGCGAACTGGGCGGTCTGGAGACCATGGAAACGCTCACGGAGCTGGGTGACGAGCTGACCCTGGGGGACATTGACGGTGAGGGGCGGCTGGGTGGGTGGGAGTGCGGGGGCGCGCGGGTAGGAAGGGGTTACGGCGGCGCGCGCGGGTGCGCGTGCGCCCACCCCCCGGCCGCCCCGGCTCGCGCGGGAAGAACCGGCACACGCGGTCGCCCCGGCGGTGCCCTACCCGTCCCCGTCCCCGCGCTGCGGGTTTGAGCCCTCGCCCGGCCGCTCCGCAGGCCGTGGGATCCGCTCCAGGCGCCTCGTGTCCGAAAGCGGAGCGAGTCGTGGGGCCGGAGCGCGGAGCCGGAGGCGTCGCGGGGGCCCAGCGGAGGCGGCCTCCCCCGCGCGCCTACACGCGTCGCCCGCGGTCCCGTGTCGCACCTGTCACTTCCCGCCTGGCCGCGGGGCAGCTTTGGGATTCCTGGGACCCAGCCCTCGGGCTCCGCGCTCCCACCCCTGGTCTTCCCGCGGTTGAGCTATGGCCGGGTCTCCTGGTGCTTGGGGAAACTTTGGGCAGCGAGGGGCTGCAGAAGCAAGTTGCTGGTGAAGCGAGGGGTGGCGGCGGAATGTGGACACGTTTCTCCGGGATGGAGACCTGGGCGCTCCTCCTGTGGCACTACACAGGGAGTTGAGCAGCAGCGATTTTGTGTTGTGGCTCCTCGGGGCCAGGCTGGGGAGCGGGTGGCCTTTGTTCCGGCGACCTTAACATCAGAGTGGAAGAGCTGGTAGGAGTTCAGGGATCCTCTCTTCCAATGCTCTCATTTTGTGGTCACGGAAACCCAAAGTTTGGAGAGGGGCAGCGACTTGCCCAAGGTCACCCAGCTGGTTACAGAGCCCAGTTCCTGGGCTAGTGTTGGTGTCGCTACATCAGGCTTTCACTTGACCCCTGGGGGTGAGGAGTCCAATGAATAGGTTAGTAATCATAATAATAACTCTAAATAGTTGGGCTCTTCTGATGTTCTAGGCCCCAAATACTCTATACTATTTCACTTATTCCTCACTATAATTCCCCGGGATACATATTCTAATTGCTCCTATTTTACAGGAGACTGAGGCTGGGAGGTGTTAACTTGTCTAAGGTCACTCACCTTAGGTTGTCCAGAACCCATGCTGTTAAGCAGTAACTCAGGTGCATTGTGCTGTTGAGTTTACACAGTGCTCTATGTCTAGGATCTCACTACAGCCTCGCAGGCAGCTGTGATGGCTGCATCCCATTGTACAGATGAAGAAGCCAAGGCAGCAGCAGATTCTCTTCTAGGGGAAGAGATAAGTGGCAGCAGCTAATTGAAAAGGATCCTCTTTTCCCATTTTGCTCCTGTAATGTTTCATCCCTTGGCCTGTCCTTGCTTTCCATTTTTGGTCATCCCAGTAGTGTGGTAAGACCCTTAATTGAAGACTTTCCCACTAGGTGCCCCTAAATACAGAGATGTGTTAATGAATGGGGCAGGGAGGTCCGTGGAACTCAACAAGGGCAGCTGACATGTTTTGAGCACTTATGTGCCAGGCACTGTGTTAAGCACTTGTACACATTCTGTTCTCAATCTTTAACAACAGTCTCATTGGGTAGAGACCAATATATTATACTACTCTCCTCCTCTCTCATAGATCCTGAAACTGAGGCCCAAGGCACTTCGTTAACTTACCCAAAGTTATACAGCCAGTAAGAAGTATGTCCAAAGCTGCCTACCAGCCAGCTCACACTAAGAAATTCATGTGCATTTTGCACTCCCGTTCCGTAATCTATCCATATTTGTTCTAATTCGTAATATGTTAAATTATCTACTGGTTAAGTGTTAACTTTATCCCATAGATTTTTGAGTAAAATGTATGTTCTGGAAACTACCACAGTGGTTCAGTGGCTTCACAGGCCCCCATATCAGATTTGGGAAAAAGTGGCTCCCTGTCTTCAATTGGTCAACAGGTATTCAAGTGCCAGCTGTAGTTTCTGAGCTGTAGGGAACATGGAAGATAGAAAAGATAGAATTGGGGCCGGCCTGGTGGCGCAGCGGTTAAGTTTGCACGTTCCCCTTCTCGGCGGCCCGGGGTTCGCAGGTTCGGATCCCGGGTGCGGACATGGCACCGCTTGGCACGCCATGCTGTAGCAGACGTCCCACATAGAAAGTAGAGGAAGATGGGCACAGATATTAGCTCAGGGCCAGGCTTTCTCAGCAAAAAAGAGGAGGACTGGCAGTAGTTCGCTCAGGGCTAATCTTCCTCAAAAGAAAAAAGAAAGAAAAGATAGAATTTTATGGCATCATGGAGCTTGAGATGAATAACAGTAAAACTGTAGTGCCAAGTGTAGAACAGCTCACAGTTGTGTAGAGCAGTAAGTGAAAGTCAGCATCAAGGGAGCTCGGTAAAGTCTGCCTTACCAGGAAGGCCACACCAAGGAGGTGGCCCTTGACCTAGGCCTTGAAGGATAAGAAGGGTTGGGCAAGCTAAAGGCCAGTAGTCTGCAGATACAAATATCTGAATACTTATGCATCCGTTCCTCTAGAAGGTCAGGTCCATGACGGCCAGGGGCTTCGTTTTGTTCGTGCTGTATTTTTCACACCTAGAACTAAATATTTGTAGAATGCACATGGAATCCAGCAGGCTGGGCAGGATTTTAAGTTGTGTTAGACACAGCCCCTGGGGTTGGGTTAGATCAGGAGTGGCTAGCCAATGTGCTTTTAGGAGCAAGTCAGGTGAGGAAGAAGGGAGTCTGGGTACGAATACATATACTTCCTTTGTATGTTTGTGGTGGGGGAGAAGGGGTACTTGCAACCTGGAGAGCTCGTGCCTACCTCTAGGAGATCTGGGTGGGCCAGAATCCTTCATTTGGCAACATCTGCCCTGCTGCAGTCCATTAGTGCCCTTCGAGGGTATGGGCCCAAGGAGGCAGTATCCATTCGCTCATTCAGCACATCTCTTGAGTGGCTTCTAAGTACATGATGGACAAAGTGCAGAGGATAGCTTTGAACAAGACAGACAAGGTCTCTTAACTTAAGTTCTTGGAGGAAACACAAGCTGAACAAATAACATAAACAAACGCTTTTGGCAGGGCACCGTGAAGAAAATTAAATGGGTCCTTGTTCTAGAGAGTGATTGGGGTAGCCTAATGTAGACTGGGTAGGCAAGGGAGGGCTCTTGGAAGAGGGGTTACCCTCTCTCTCGAGAGATGTCCAGGTCTAGCTTTTCATGTGAAATATCCAGATTTTTAAATGTTGGCTCAAGTTTTGTTTTATTTTTTAAGAAACAAACTGTAGGCCCAACAAATCCTGTGTAGTTGATCTCCAGGGCCTTGTTCCACTGCAGAATGCTCTGTTGTCCCAGACCCCCAGGTCTCTTATGATAGAATCGCTAGAGCACGCCTTTTGTGGTAGATATCTGTATTATGAGAGAGGGCCTCATGCACTGTGATAAGCCTGGTCTTCTGGAAGGGCAGAGAGGTGGGATCTTCTTCTCTGGGATCAGGAAAGGCACAGTCATGGAGGTGACCTTTTTGCTGGTCCCAAAAGAATGGGTGGCAGAAGCAGCATGACAAGCATGTGGAAGAAGAAGGATCAAGCTGCC